AACTGTAATGCTTTAAGTTGTGGACCATAGTGACTTATCTGAGAGCTGCTTTTCAGGGGTTTCATACAATAGAGGACGATCTCTGGGAAACAGCAAAACACTTATTTAGGAAACTTCACATCCAGTTGGAGGTGCGGAACTCATTTTTTTTGCAGAATCAAGTAGAAGCTGAAAGAAAGTGAGCTTAGTGATTCACACAGTCTGCATGATAGATTTTAATGCTAGAAATGACGCACGGCATGGCGTCATATGGGTACGGTTTCATTATTCAGATTGCTAAAATGTTATGCTTTTTACAATGTGAATTCCATTCACCACGTGGTAAATCATATGGAAGCGGCAGGTTCAAAAAAGCCGCACTTGCATTAAAAAGCATGTACGCGTTTTGCCTGAAATAGAAACCGCACCTTCACAATTGTGCAACAGCCGATATTTACATTCAAACGATGGAAATGACATGAAGGAAAGTGAAGGAACAGTAGGCGCTAAAAAGTTTGATCTGAGAACCGTGAACACGAGTTCTTGAGCGCTGTTCACTCTTCCAATCTGCATTGTTCTCGAGCTATCCCACCCTGAGCTTATGAGATCTAAACCGATTTAGGGGTGAACAGCAGCAGTGCCTATCACCTTGGGCTTTGAATGCGTCTCAGACATGCCGGACAACCAAGTGATAACGAGAGCAGGTAGCCATCCTGTTGCTTAAAGGAGGATTGTACGATGAGGTCGAAGGTCGAAGAATGGAAAACTCACCTAGTGGAAAGGCAGGCGGGCCCTGCAAGAGTAAAGAGCGACACACTACATATTCGCAGCGAAGGGTAAGCCCGTGTGGCGACCTAATAAGTTGGTCATCTCCGCGGCGCTGTCGGCGCGGTACGCCCACCGACTTGGCTAACCACTCGCCACAGGTTCCCAATCATTTAACATAGAGAGCGTTGAAGAGAGTAGCACCGATTGGAGTCGCATCAGTGCGGAGGTCAACAACAAGGAAGAGACCCTATTTCTTGGACCGTTTCTCACGCTTTTTCTTCGTCCTGACACCACTGACCACATCCGCCTTCTTCCTAATGGGCTACCTTCGAATCGTGAACACCGCCTTTATTGGTATGTGTCTTAAATGCACGTTGAGATCATGAGAGGAGCCACTCAGAGGTTTGGGCTCCTCCTACTGGTGTGTCTGCCTGTTTAAGATAGCAAAGACAAAAGTCGCACTAATAAAGAAGGTCCGACGTTCGAAGTGATCCTACTAATGTCATCAGCAATCAGTTTCCTATAGAGCTCAAATGGAACAACTTCCTAGGGGGAGGTGGTTCGACGTCCACAACGCAACGGGGTGTTGCCAATTTATAGCAGCTACTGAGTGCGGTTCTGAGAAAAGTGCGATGCGCGCCCAAACCTGGAAGGTAATCCTTCCCGAAAATTTTTACGCATTCTTTTCAACATGAATGGAATGTGTCAGGTTGTGATTAACTACAGGCACTGATGATAGTTGGCACGCACTAAGATCTCAGTTTCAAGAGAAACAAAGCTTACAAAATTAGTCATTTTTAGAGAGCAGTCGGAACGTCGTAAGGGAGGGCGATGAAATGAAGTGCGCCTTGGGGCGGCTACTCAGACCGGCGCATGTAAAAATCCCGCCAAATCGTTTTCGATGTTGAGGAAAAGCGACAAAACGATCGATACAATATGATTCATTAGAAATGTGAGATGTCAGTGTAATAAGTCAAAAGGCCACGGCACGCCGTGAACCGAGTGGAAGTGTTCCCACCACCAACTTTTGTGACAGATGTCCGGCGCAACTTGGAGCGCAGCGCTCCTTCCGGCTTTTCGAGTTGTTTACCAAAACCAATGTTTTTTTGTTGTGCTCGGGCGGCCATCGTGCGACGAGAAGGTAAATACTCAGGTGGATTGGGGTGAGGATACAATCACGCATTTTTCCAGACGGATTCCTTCAGAGGGCTAGTTGGGAAAAAGCAGAAAAAAAAGAAAAAAGAAAAAAAGATAAGATGCGAACGCGTCTGCGTTTCGCTATTTCTGCATACGCTCTCCTCTCTAACTGCTTCTCTCTCTCAGTGCTCACAATCTCTTGGATGGTCCGTAATTCGCCCAAGGCGAAAGAAAGCGATAAATGGATACTTGTTAGTCAGCAGTTTCGTAGAGCTCCCCTTTTTCCCTCACTCGGCATTACATCTTCGTACTTCCAATGCCATTTTTCGCGAAAGAAGATATAAAGTTCTATGCCGTGGAATTTGGCTTTCGATAACTGCGGATTGGAAGTTTCCCACTCAACACGAAATTTTTTTGAAGAGGCCCGTACTTCCCGGGCCCATCAGGGAGCAAGGTGCTGATGCTCACTGCCGAATGTGTATAAAACCGCACAGACATATACATAAATCATGGAATTCACTTCTTTAATGAGTTGATAGTACGAAAGACGTAAATCAACACCAGTTCTGCATGTGGAATAACAGATTCAAAGATCTGAATTTATTCATGGCAATAAACTTCATAGAACATGCAATAAAATAATATCATAATATGATCGAAATCGATCCGTCAAAATCTAATAGCATTCTCTGAGAAAGCTTTACGAATTAATTTAAAGGCTACTGGCCATAATGAAAACAACCCGACAGGTTTGTGTCTGAGAGAGAGGCAGAACCGGAAAATTGCCCACAAAATATACCAATTTTCTTTAAAAGAAGCTAAAATACAGTGACAGATATATTACAGATACAAATATGCATGCTAAAACATATGTCGAGAAGTTAAATATCTACAAACTCTGGAAACCGCCTTTAGACCGGAAATAGCACTTTCAGGTTTTTCCTCATAGCAATTTCGTTCAGGACCTGAAAAGAAAAGAAAACTTGGTCTATTAGAGATGGACTGTTTATTCGACAGAAAGATCACGGAGAGACCAGTTTGTGCCGTGCTTTTTCCAATTTGTCGGGATATTTGTCAATCAGGGATGGCAGGAACGTACCTCATTGGACTGTTCTTTTGCTGGTCTCTGGGCAACGCGCCCACATGATGAAGAGGAAAATGACTGTCGGAACGAGGAACATGAATAGCGATTGAGCGCCAATCTAAACAAGGTTACTGTAGCGTGAAGCGTGCCATAAAAAGGATAAGTCGTAGAAAATTCTGATATTTCAGATCCTGAGAGAAAGCGCTCAATTGGCCTGTGCGTGGTCTTACGGACCGTACAGACGTCTCAGACCGCTCCCTCTCTTTTTTGATATCATCGGGTAAATATAGAAGCTTATACTCACTATATTGGCAATGGGATAGAAGGCGAATTCAACGCCAATTTTCGTTAATGCTTCAAACATTGTGAGAATCGAGACGGAAGAGATCAATAGATTGCGAGGCACAAGTTCTGCAGCATAGAATCTGGACACGGAGCCAATACCGCATGCGGTCGTCAGCAGAAGGGACGATAATCCGATGAGGGTTGCAATCTGAAAATACAATCCTAGTTGGACGCCATGCCTCTTGAGAAAAACACGTTTGATAGACTATCTCTGAGGCCTCGTTAAAAGCTAGCGATTTATACGATTTCGCGGTTCAGCGATCCGGCGATTTAGCGACTGTGCTGAAAGGAATGTGCGCGTATTGATAGAAAGACTGCCTACTCATTGCACCGGAACGCTAATTGGACAACGTCGCTTCAATCGATGCGCAGCTAGTCCTTTCAGTCTAATCGCCAAATCGCCAAATCGCATAATCTCCGTTTTTAGATCGATATGCATGCTTTGTTTTCGACGTGATCGCCAAATCGCATGAGGCTGGAGCTACAATGGGACCCAAAGAATGGGTCTCGTAACCGTCCAGATCACATTCACATTCAACTGACCTTCCAACTAGCTCCGAGATCGATTCCGATTATCATCAGAGACAGCGACAGAAATGAGATCACCGTTGACGTGACTATCAACGGCCGTCGTCCAAGACGGTCAAACGAAGAACACTGGGATCAGAGTGAAAGGAATTCTAAGTAGACCTGAAAAGGACATCTTAGTTGAGGCAAATCTTCTTTTAAACCCATCAGTGCGAAGGAACTCACTAATAGCGAAAGATCCGTAAAGTGCGCCATCGTAACTCCATCGGCCCAGGTTGTAAAGAACAAAAGTACTGAATGCTCGCAGACATCTGGCTCCAGTGAATACGTACGCAATCTGAATCATGTTCGGTTGTTAGGGCAAAAAGATTCCATTGAACAGAGCGAGAATCGTTCTCAGACCATTTCAGTATGCGCCATGCGCGCACTTTTTGCTCAAAATTGCACAGGAACTTGGATAGGGTGTTGTAGCCGTACGCTGAATTCTGGATGTTATGCATGTACCAGCGATCGACTGTGGGCGGAGTGGAGGGTTAGCTGACTCTGCGTCAGTAGCCAGTTATCCAGTATCGCATATAATGGCCGTCAGAGGTCAAGAAAAGTAGTAACAGTCAGTAAAGTCAAGTTGGACGGACGAAACCATACTTGTTCGAGCCCTTCATTCCCTTAGCCCCTGGTGTGAAGCGCTCGACTCCAAGGAAATGAAGGATGCCGTTGAAACAGATCTCAAAAGCTAGAATTCGGTTAATGGACACCCGAACATTTGTTTTCGAATTTTTCCAGATATAGAATCGAATAGGGCGGAAGTGGTGTAGTGACAAGTGGCGCGCTTACCACGCGAGCGGTCCGGGATCAAATCCTGGGTCGTGAGTCGCCCGGGCCAACCAAGCCTTCCATCCCTCCGGGGTCGGTTAATTGGTACCAGACTTGTCTGGGAGGATAAAAACACTGACTTGTACATCGGCTGGCCCCGCAAGTCATTGTATAGGCCACATCGCATTCAAACGCCACTACGAATGTACAAATGGAAGTAGAATGCGTGCCGCATCCCAAAAAGGGATTGATCAACGGCAAATGCTTTATTATTTTTCATGAAGAAATCGACACTTCAAATATCTTACCTTCACCATCACTCCAAGCCATGCCGCCTCACGAATCACCTTAGAACTGTCGTCTCGAGCTTTCCATGGCATGAAAATCACGGTCACTGAGTCGTGCTCGGTCTGTATGGGGGATTTCGCCTCCTGAAATGATTGATTGAAGTACTGTTGAAAATGCACTCACAGAAGAATCCCAACTAGATGAAAATGCGTACCTTAGCTTTTGCCTTCTCCTTTGATTTAGTGACACTATCTTCACAGATTTTCATTTCCGTTTCAACTGTTGCATCTTCGACTCCTACACCGTGATAGGCTGCAAGGGCCTTACGAGCCTAAAACTGTTACATGAAGTATTGAAGCATTTTCAAGCGATCTTAACACCCACCTTTTCACGATTTCCTGTCTTCTCTATTATGAATTGCGGTGATTCATGAACAACGAAGAACAGAACCATTGAGAGAAGTACGAAAGCGGCATTCGGCAAGAAGATGAAAGGCCAAAGTTCTTCGTTAGAGAATGGAACGCCAAACGCTTGAGTGATCAGTGAGCCTAAAACGGATAAAATCTTGCATCGCTCTTATATGAACTCTTGCGGCGTATTCCACAATTAAGCCTATACCCACGTCTCCGAGTAGGATGGGCTGTAAGAATGATGGATTATTTCCGTTTTTGTGGCTGTGAGTGGCTGCAGCCTGCAGGCAGGGCCACTCACAGCTAAGTAGTCTAGGCAGAGGAAAGCCTAACACTAGTTGCCCGTGTTCCCTCTCCTGGGCGCGCAGGTCTTCCTCACAGCAGCACTGTCCCTAGAAGAGGAAGACCGTCAATTCGAACGCAGCCCTCCCTCTCATTTCCCCTGCGCCTCCTAGAGTGCCCTCTATGAATGGGTGCTACCTGCCCTGTACCCTACAAATGGTCACGAATTGAGAAGGAAAACCGAAGAAGTGCTTAACATCGCGATGGGTCCAACTTTCTAGAGAGCTCATGCTTGCTTATCGAGTCGGCCCTGACTGGCAGAGGGCAGTTCTGTCGATAGCCTTAACAGTCCAAGATAATGTAGCTTACCGATAGCCATGAAGAACTCCTGCATGGACGCCATTCTGCCACGGATCTGAGGCGGTGCACATTCGACAATCCAGACAGTAGCGTTCACGCTGCTGATACCGTTCGCCAGAGACCTTAAAAGTGAATGGTTGGATAGCCTGCGATCTTCGCCCAGGGAGAACCATCATTTCCAACTCTTTCACAGTGAAAAATAGCTTACCATAAAATGCGTCCAAGGTATAGAAGCTCGAAATAAGGGTGCAGATATTTTGAGGCGAAACACAGCAGTACGCCGGGAATGTAGAGAGCACTGGCTAACAGCGCGGTGCCTTTCCTTCCAATTTTCTTACATAGAAATGCAGCCAGAATTGTCCAAAAATGGTGCTTGCTATGGGAAAGCAGACGTTCAGCAGAGACAGCAGGACGTTCTGAAGGAGTACTTTCTTCTTGCAGTAAGTACATTTTGTAATGACATTGTAGTTCACTTTTTGGCTTACCAGCATTTCATGGCTCATCTCCGTGTCATATCGCTCTACCCATGACTGGTTAATGAAGCTTTCGATTTGTAGGTATGGCTGATTGAGAACAGAGGCAATGTATCCTTGTTGAAATCCCGACGAAAGGCACAGGGCCAGTGATAGAAGATGGATCGATACAGATGGCATTGCTTGGTGAGTGTAATCTGAAATTTATATCCCTTGTTATCCTTTTCTTTGATCGCGATAAAAACCATAGCGATAGTCTCAACGAGCACGTTTTAACAAAATCGAATTCTTGATGGAATAGATTCAGGTTGGTTTCTGACAGCGTGGCGGGCGGGCCGACCAAGTAGGGGCGTATTGAGGCGATAGAGCGCCTTCTTTGGGCCGATGTCAGACTTTGCGAATCGCGCGATTCGCTACTAGCGATTCGCGGTCGCGTTGCGGTACCAGCCAATTGAGTGATTCACTGGCCGCGACGCGACCGCAGACGCTAGCGAATCGCGCGATTCGCAAAGTCTGACATCGGCCTTTCGCTGACCACGCCCAATCCACTGCGCTCACCACATCCATACTAGAATCGGGGTTAAGCGTTGAAAATTGAAAACTGTCATCAGTGATTTTCATTGTCTGAGTTTGAGAATTGCCTCGGATGCTTTCATGCAGAAAAGCGTCAGCGATCCTTCACACCATAGCGTGTTACCCGAATCGCCAAAGCGCCAAACTGCATAAGTCGCGAGGAGGAAGGCCTTAGTTTGATCATGGCTTTTGGCAGAACTATTCAACTGATTTTCATGTCTCAGTCGAGATCAATAATATAGCAGCCGGTAGAAACACGAAATAAACTCAGTAGACATTCGAATAGTAGATGCGAGTAGTGATTGGATAACTTGTCAGTTTTCACAGTAATGCTTTTTTTGAGCAAGAAAATGGCTAAATTGATTGAACCACCTCATAAAACAGTAAGGCCGAGCAAATACAAACAAAAAAATGATTCCCATGGCGGATCTAGGAAAACTTCGAAGAGAAGATGCAACAAGAGTTGAATGTTGAAATCAGAAGTGGTAGCAAAAAGCAGCTTTGACTTAAAAACCGTATTAAAGGGTGACCCATCACCTTGTTTTGGGGGCTAGGGCGGTGCACAAGGGAATTCGATTAGGGAGTCAAATGTAGCAATCAACACCGAAACGGTAGTCATATTTCCCCTGTGAAGAGAGTTTCATTAAAAGGGGTTATATAGCAGTGTCTCGTAATCCGCTTTTCTAGGATAAAATAACTTTTCATGATTAATCATAAAAAAGGGCAACCCCCCGTTTCCGCGGCGTTTTCAAGGCGACGCAGATTGAAGCTTTTTTGTTGTGTACCAATTGAACTGGTTAAATGGGAGTTGTGATCATTGTTGATGGAATTCAGTAAATCAATCAACGTGAAAATTAGTAAACTGTCTTGAAAAGGGGTGGGTAGATCAGCTCGCCTGAACTGCCCATCGCTCCTCGTATATCAGGTCATATTTGCAAAAGGCGGGCAATATATGATCTCAGTTTCATGGGAATCATTTTTAGGTTCCAAAGCCTTTGGAAGCCTCAATGTATACCAGGAGTGGTTAGCCCTTTGAAGTGCATGGATTACTGAGATCATCGCGTAGTTCAAAGGGGCAGGCAAATCATGGATTTTGACCGGTTTTTGGGTGTCCTCCCTAACACCCTAGTTAGCGGCCTACCCATTGTGTACTCACGATCAACTTATGGTATGGGATTGGCCATGGGTGTAAAGGCTCTCGGAGAGAATGACAGCATGAAAGCGAGTTTTTCCTTGGAATACTGTGTTATTGAAGATTCCTATTGCTCTTCTGATGCCTGTTCAGCAAAGAGGTACAAAACTCTTCCACCCTTTACGCTTCAAAACACCGAGTTCAGGAAAACAGGGAAAAGGGGCCGCAAAGGGCTTGTGGCACCTCTGGAACCAGTCACTTGAAGTGTTTATCGAGTAAGTCCTGCACAATGTCTCGGGTAAGTCTGAAGATTTTGCAAACACTATGGGATTCCGGGACTCCGAGATCTACCGAACTTCGAAGTGTGTTTCCGAAGGACAAATGTGTAAAATATGACCCTATTGTGATCTATTCTGATATGGCCTGATATCCGAGCGAATATTCTTGATGCTATACCCTTAGCCCATGGGAATATTCTGCTTTACGCATACTCGTCATGCTGTTGACCTATTGCTGCGTGTTATTTTCTTCCTTTCGACTTCATTTCCTGTGAGAAAAGAACTAAATAACAAATAAATAAGTAGACCAAATAATAAATAGCTCCTCCAGTAAGGCTGATTGTGAGAACTTCCCAAAGCGGACATGGGCGGCAAGCGAGGCATGTGGCATGAGCCTATTATAGTAGGAAAGGATAAGTTTCGAGAGTGACATATGCTCGCAACCCGTCTTCTAGTCTCCCCCCCCCTAAGGGTCAGTCCTGGGAGGGGGATTAGAAGAAGGTGTATGTAAGCCATCTCCCTCCCCGTAGTCCCTCCTATATGCACCACCGAATAAACGTGTACCCATCTGTCCCCAGACCCCTTTTGCAAAGCTAATGACACGAGCTATACTCCAAGGGAGGAGTAGAACGACATCTGTAGCGCTCACCTCCAGGAACTTATGGGGACCAAGTGAAGGGATTTCGCTTCTCTCACTAGTAACAATAAATCCTGGGAGGCGGTCGGGGCCATTAAGAATCATGCCGCATGCGGCATGTGTTACCTTAAATGATTATTTCAAGTGTCCTAAATCAACTGTTGATACAGATGTCGCACATTTATGACAGTGCAGGCGAAAGACGGACGTTTACGACAGCAACAACACATCGCACTCACAGATGAAGTCATAATAGTGAGATGTCAGGCACGAATTGAAAATTTGAAGAGAACTTGATCTGAA